CTCCTTCACCATGACGCCTCCTTCCTCACAGTGATGCCTCCTTCACCATGACGCCTCCTTCACTGTGACGTCTCTTCCTTCACCGTGATGCTTCCTTCACTGTGATGTCTCCTTCACTGTGACGCTTCCTTCACTGTGACGCTTCCTCCACTGTGACGTCTCCTTCACCGTGACACCTCCTTCACTGTGACGTCTCTTCCTTCACCGTGATGCTTCCTTCACTGTGATGGCTCCTTCACCGTGACACCTCCTTCACTGTGACGTCTCCTTCCTCACTGTGATGTCTCCTTCCTCACTGTGACATCTCCTCCTTCACTGTGACGTCTCCTTCACTGTGACGCTTCTTTCACTGTTACGTCTCCTTCACTGTGACGTCTCCTTCACTGTGACGCTTCCTTCACTGTGACGTCTCCTTCACCGTGACACCTCCTTCCTCACAGTGATGCCTCCTTCACCGTGACGCCTCCTTCACTGTGACGTCTCCTTCACTGCCTCCTCCTTCCGCACTGTGACGTCTCCTTCACCGTGACGCCTCCTTCCTCACTGTGACATCTCCTTTCCCCTTGACATCTCCTCACAGGAATCAAACCTCAGCTGACACCTTCAGAGTAAAGGCGTCCCCCCTCAGTCATCTCAGGAATGTCCAACAGGAACCAGAGGAGCAGGACTCCCCCTCACCTCTCAGGTCCCCGTCCATCCATCCCCTCGTACATCATCCGTCCGTCCATCCACCCGTCAGGCGCTGGCGGGACCCAGCGCAGCCGACAGACGTGAGCCGCCTCAGGTTGACTCTCCTCCTACGAGGGCCCCTCTCTGAGCTTTCTGAGGGCCCCGTCGGAACCCGCAGTGTCCCGCCAACTCAATCTTAGTCGTGAACAAAGTGGAGGGAGCGGGAGCCGTCCCATCAGTCTCCATTATGGGACGGCGTTGTTGCTCGGCTGTCGTGTTCCTGAGGTACTCCAGGGGAGATGCTGTCTCATACATCATCAGGGAACAAAGGCTCTGACCGGGGGGGAGGGGGAGCACGGGGGAGGGTGGTCCTTCCTGCCTCTGAGACACAAAAACACACACTCAAATACACACACTACCACCCCCACTCCCTATCATGGGGGGGGACTGATGGTCAAGATGATCTGAGTGGAGGAGAAACAAACCTCTGTGCAGGTATCGTATTAAAGTTTGTGTTACAGTAAAGTGGGTCTCAGGTAACTCTTCTTCTTCTCATGTGTGAGGTCAGAGTCTTTAACCTTCCCCAAGGATTTAAAGCATATCAGCTGTGAATGAAACATGAGCTGTGTTCATTATTCGGCTTCAGCTTTGATTGAATTTAAATTAAAGATATTAAAGAGCACACATTGGTGTGTGTGTGTGTGTTTGTGTGTCTGTGTGTGTGTGTGTGTGTGTGTGTGTCTGTCTGTCTGTGTGTGTGTGTGTGTGTCTGTCTGTGTATCTGTCTGTGTGTGTGTGTGTGTGTGTGTGTGTGTGTGTGTGTGTGTGTGTGTGTGTGTCTGTCTGTCTGTGTATGTGTGTGTGTACATGTGTATGTGTGTGTGTACATACACAGACACTGTCTGTGTGTGTGTGTCTGTGTGTGTGTGTGTGTGTGTGTGTGTGCATGTCTGTCTGTCTGTGTGTGTTTGTGTGTGTCTGTGTGTGTGTGTGTGTGTCTGTGTGTGTGTGTGTCTGTGTGTGTGTGTGTGTGTCTGTGTGTGTGTGTGTGTGTCTGTGTGTGTCTGTGTGTGTGTGTGTCTGTGTGTCTGTGTGTCTGTCTGTCTGTGTGTGTGTGTGTGTGTGTGTGTGTGTGTGTGTGTGTGTCTGTCTGTCTGTGTGTGTTTGTGTGTGTATGTCTGTCTGTGTGTGTGTGTGTGTGTGTGTGTGTGTCTGTCTGTCTGTGTGTGTGTGTCTGTGTGTGTGTGTGTGTGTGTGTGTGTGTGCATGTCTGTCTGTCTGTGTGTGTTTGTGTGTGTGTGTCTGTCTGTGTGTGTGTGGTGTGTGTGTGTGTGTGTGTGTGTGTGTGTGTGCAGGGTTTGATTGACAGCTTTCACACCAGCTCTAACGAGTTTGTTTGAACAGAACAACACCTGAGGAGTGAAAATGGTCTTACCCTCATCGTGTGGCGGATCTGAGTTGACCTCATAGTTTGGATGAGAGCAGCAGCTTCAGCAGTGATCGATGAGTCTGTTCTGCCTCATTGTTTTACACTTTACTCCTCTGAACTCTGACGGATGGAGACGCCGCTCAGCTTGTCGCCAAAATGCCGTTTACCTCACAACCACACAAGTAAATAAAGAGCTCCAATCAGAGCGGTGAACAGGTCACACAAGAACACACATTCATCATCAGGTACCTGCTCTGTTACTCACATCTGCTCTGCTGCAGCATCAGGCCGGGACCTGCATCAGGCCGGATGTGTGTGTGTGTGTGTGTGTGTGTGTGTGTGTGTGTGTGTGTGTGTGATTAATATGAAGGTTTCTGATCCTCCAAAAACAACCTGCTCTTCATGTCCAAGAGATCATCTTCATTAAACTCTTCATCACAACATGATGATGACGACAGACGAGGAAGATGATGATTTTAATATCCTTTATTAATCCCTGAGGGAAATCTGGGTTCACACTCTGTTATTTATAGGGACACACTTCTCACACACACAGGCCCGAATCACACACATGCACAAACAGGACCTGTGGACATGCAATGCTGGAGACATGTCAGAGCAGTTGGGGGTTCGGTGCCTTGCTCAAGGGCACCTCGACAGTGCTCGGGAAGCGCCCTGGCACCCCTCCAGCCTCTAGACCAACTTCCAGATTTGATCCGCACCGAGACTTGAACCGGCGGCCCTCCGGTTCCCAACCCAAGTCCCTACAGACTGAGCCGCCCCGATGATGATGATGATGATGATGATGATGATGATGATGATGATGACGACAACAGTTGTGCGAAAATGTGAAGAGACAGATCATTCACCATCCCGTCTCTGATCCTGCTCAGGACAGAGGAGCGTTTTCCTCTACGAACCCAGTGTCCTCCACGTCCTGCTAGGCCTCCTCTTCCTCTTCCTTGTCCTCTTCCTCATCCTCGTCTTCTTCCTCTTCCTCTTCCTCTTCCTCTTCCTTTTCCTCTTCCTCTTCCTCTTCCTCTTCCTCTCACTCTTCCACACCTCCAATCACCTGACAAGCCTACTTATACTGAACCATCCCACTCCACAACGTTTGTCTCAGTTCTTCAACGACCCACCCTCCCTTCCCTCCCTCTCATCCACTGAACCTCCTTCCTCATCCATCTCTTTTTTTCTAATTAAGCACAGTCTGGCCGTGATCAGCCCGGGCAGAACTACGCTTGAGACGGAGCCTCCATCCTGAGTCAGCCTGCAGTCAGTCAAACCTTCCAGACCAGCCAACCGACAACATCCCTCTCCATCATAATCATTACCTTAGCATATCGTCTTCTGTCGCACATTCATACCATCTATCATTAAATATCTTAAACGTATTTGGTTGTGGCGTGATCCTTGCTAGTGAAAGGATCTTCCAGTTTTCAGGATCGTGTTCTTTGTTCTAAAGATGAAGAACAATATGTAACACGGAGGGTAAAGGTCAAAGTGTGTTTCCATCAAACAACAACCACAGATTATTTTGAAAGTTTGTCCTTCACTTCCTATAAAATCATTTTGTATTAAATTGTCTGTGAAGACTGAAATCATTCTAAAAACAGAGAAGTCCCTTTAACAGCTGGGCCAACAGAAAGTGATCGTTAGTGAAGTCTGATGACGATCATGAAGTTTTTAATGAAACAACGCACGATGTTAGTGCTCTGAAGCTCTCTGACATCAAACATTCAAATGAGTTCTGCTCCTTTAATAATGGGATGGTTTGGTGCAGTGGTTCCCAAAGGGGGGTCGGGACCCTTGGGGGGGTCGCAAGAGGCCTTCCAAAAAACAAAAGTAAACATTTAACACGTTTTAAAATTTCATATTTTTCCAATTTTTGTCTGCAACAACATGTCTGCTGCGTTTTAAACCAAGACAGACACACCTGATGTATTAACGCCTGTCCTAATGTTTATGCTTCAACCTTCAACAGTGGGGGGTCCCTGGTCTCTGGCATCTAAACTTTTGGGATCTTGAGCTGAAAAGTTTGGGAACTCCTGGTTTTGGTGTTTCTGTGATGTGGGAGCTTTGAGCAGATGTTGGTCTGTTGGTACCCTCTAGTGGTTAAATCTTGAACCTCAGCTGTGCTCCTTACAGGGACGCTTTATAGAGAAGCAGCATGTTGTCTGCTGACCATATACTGTATATAATTATTATTTATTAATAATTCATATTATTGATGAATGTCTCTCTGCTCTTTCCTTAACATTTCATCCTTTTGGATTATTAATGTTAATATTTGTCGTTTTAGTTTATTGCCATTTGTTTTTGATCAACTTTTGTTTTTGAGCGAGAGAACAGAAAAAAACAATAAATCAAGATTTATGTCATTTTCATTTTTAATAATTGTATTGACACAAAAGCAGACAGACAAAACAAAGTTCACGAAATAATATTTTTTTAATTACAATTTAGTTTTATATCAGATTGTTAAAGTCCTTTTCACAATAAAAGAAAAAAAATCGTTTTTTCTTCAAATATAAGCAGATACAAAAATATCTGGAAGTCTGTTTCACAATAACTCGTGTTTTAACAAAGCTGAATTATTAATAATTATGATTATTATTATGATAATTATATTGTTATTAGTATTATTCAAGCTTCCTCATGGGTTAAATGGATTTATAAATATCTATGTTTCTATTGATTATACATTTTAAAACCTATTATGTCGTATATAATTTCATTTCCCTTTTGATTTTTATATCCATTATTTTATGTATTGTCAAAGCAGCATTTCTTTGTTTTATTGTTTTAAACATGTTATCTTCAGGGCCAGCAGGGGGCGCATGCGCAGGAGCCGGAACCTTTTGGCGCTACCTCCTGTTTCCACTCGGTGTTGTCTGTGTGTAAACTTCCGGGTTGGGTGAGCGTACACACGTGAGAGCAGCAGAAGCGGTGAGCTCTCAGGTATTTAAAATACTTTAATTCAACATTAATACTGACGAAGATTTAAAAAACACCGAACGATGCTAGGCTAACGCTAGCTGCTGTCTGTGCAGATGAACGTGGAGCTAACGTGTGTTAGCATGTTTTCTTCTTGTTTGTCCACTCGTCACGTGAAATAATCACAAACTCATATTGTTAAATAATGTTTCATTCATACCGACACGCAGCTCAGAGGGCATCATGTCGGAACAGACACATTATCATAATAAGAATGATAAAATAATAGTTTATTTGTTTCACAGTGTGAAATAAAAACAAACAGACATCATTATAGATTAGAAACAATGAAATGAAACCACAGGTTATAGGCTCTTTTGTAAACAGCTCGACCGATATGAGATTTTGGGGGCCGATATTGATATTGTGGAGAGAAAAACATCTGATAGAGTTGTATCTGCTGATATCTTTCTTAGATCTGCAGAGAGTAGTCGAGGTTGGAGGAAATAAAAGATTTTAGCTACAAGAGAAAAAAAAGGTTAAATACAGATCAGTCTGGGCTCATTCTTACTAACTGATGTGACTGGCTGAAATGTCTCTGCACGCTACAGCCAATCAGAGCAAGGAAACATGATGTGTTATCGGGCAGCCTCTGCTGGAACACATCTCAGCGAGTGAAACAACAAATCCAGTGGCTGCTTGTTATTCACTCTGTGTTGAACGTGTTCAGTTTGCAGGATGGACGGTAAAGTCAAGGAACAGAAGCGACATCAGCAGAAACATAGCGGACCCAAAGCAGAGAAGAAGAAGCTCAGGAAGCAGGGGGCCACCACAGAAGAAGATGGACGCAAACGGAATCCCAAAGCGTTCGCCGTACAGTCCGCTGTTCGGATGGCCAAAACCTTCCACAGGTCAGTGGTCATCATTAAAGTCACACACACATTAAAGGAGCGATATGTAACTCTGACACCTAGTGTTTAAAATGGGTACTGCAGTCTAAATTCTAAACATTGTAGAGAGCTGTCTTTGACCTGATAACTGGAATCATATCTGGCAAACAGAGGGGCGTCCAAAACGGCCGTGTAGGGGGTCGTCTTAAAACCGCCTACCGTCTCTGGTCCAAACAAATCCAGAGCATTCAGGAGCAGAATCTAAAGTTAGAAGGAGGACATACTGGCTGCTGCATTGTTGTCATGTCTGACGTGACACTAACTCCTCCTCCTCTTGTTTCTTCTTCAGGTCTCAGGACATCAAGACAAAGAAACATCACATCCCCCTGGTGGACCGGACTCCTCTTGATCCCCCTCCCATCGTCATCGTCGTAGTCGGGCCCCTAAGGTGGGGAAGAGCACCCTGATCCGCTGCCTGATCAAAAACTTCACCCGACAGAAGCTGGGGGAGATTCACGGGCCGGTGACCATCGTGGCAGGTGAGTGAGAACCTGCAGGCGGTGCAGCGCTGTGTGTGTTCATGTCTGACTGTGTGTGTGTGTGTGTGGAGCTTCCGCTCCCAGAGGGGGTGGTTTGGAGTGGATTGCGGCGCGGTGTGCGCTGTTACGGCCGGGGCGAGGTGGGGGGAATGGATCTGCGGCGGTTGTCTGCCTTTGGGGCGATGCTGTCCGTCTTTCCGCCACCAACACCTCCGGGTGTTTCAGTAGCGGCCGGGTGGTCTTCCGCTCTACTTCTGCAACGCCAAAACACAATGTGACAGAGAGGGAGAAGGTTCAAGACGATTTAGAGAGGCACTTTGAGATAAAGTCAATACGATCACAGTTCAATGTGTGTGTGTGCTCGTCTGTATTCTATCTGTTGTTTTAATGTTTAACATGTTTAACGTGTTGATGTTTTTCAGGTAAGAAGCGCCGCCTCACCTTCATGGAGTGTAACAACGACATCAACACCATGATCGACCTCGCTAAAGTCGCCGACCTGGTGAGGAAACAACGAAGGCACATCATTCATGTTTAACTAACAGCTGACGGCGACCCGTTCACTTGAGTGTCATCATTCAGAATAAAACTCTCATCACAGATAAAGCAAGATCAGGCTTTTGTTTTGAAATGCTTACCAGAGCCATGTTGGGGTGCGTGATGGGTGTTGCATGTCCTGCTTCTGCTCATGGTGCTCGATAACTCTGTGAGCAGTCGTCTCAGTGTTCGGTGAACGACGCTCACGTTCTCATTTAAGAGTTTCAGATTGGCTCGTTCAGTTCGCCAAAGATATGAGCGCATTCGACACATTCAGACTCATCCGTATGAAGCGGGTCTGAGGCCCTCGGAGGTCAGATGAGCAGATTAACATCACGCTGCAGAGACAGAGGGCAGAGTCGCACAGAAGGAGGAGAATCATACTCAGATCAGCATCAGCACAGAGAGGCGATGAACTGCTTTGACCACAGGGGGCGCCAAAATCAACACAGACATGAAGTTCCTCTCAGGAGCGTCAAACAGGAATGAATGTCGTATTATAAAGTGGACAAATGTTTGTTCCCCCCCTCAGGTGTTGATGCTGATCGACGCCAGTTTTGGCTTCGAGATGGAGACGTTTGAGTTCCTGAACATCTGCCAGGTGCACGGGTTCCCTCGCATCATGGGCGTGCTGACTCACCTGGACTCGTTCAAGAACAACAAGGCCCTGAGGAAGACCAAGAAGAACCTGAAACACCGCTTCTGGACCGAGGTCTACCAGGTAAACACACCTGTAACTCTACCTGTGTTTGCCCCTGTCAGTGTGTGTGTGTGTGTGTGTGTGTGTATCTATTTTTGTTTCTGTGCTGTCAAACAGTTAGAATCATATGAAGGTATAATCCTGGTACGGTAACCTGTGTGTGTACCTGTGTGTTGACCTGCAGGGGGCCAAGCTGTTCTACCTGTCAGGGATGGTGTTCGGAGAGTATCAGACTCAGGAGGTGAAGAATCTGGGCCGTTTCATCTCGGTGATGAAGTTTCGTCCTCTGGTGTGGCAGACGTCTCATCCCTACGTGCTGGCTGATCGGTCAGTGATCTCGCCGTTCTTATTACCTTGAAAATCGGCGTCATTAACGTGCAGATCAACGATATGTAGCGTTTCCTCAGTGTCACAACCTCGAGGGTCACATGTCCAGGTGGAGTCGCTGAGTTAGTGTGTAACTCTCTCTGCTCTCTCACAGCATGGAGGACCTGACCGACCCAGAGAGGCTGAGGACGGACCCAAAGTGTGACCGCACAGTTTCACTCTACGGCTACCTGAGAGGGACATACATGAAGAACAAAGGCCAGGTCCACATCCCCGGTATGAAGTCTGATTGCCTGTTTGTTCCTCTTGTCTGAACCCTTTCGCCTGCACACTAACCTGTGACGTTACTCCGTACAGGTGTGGGAGACTTCCAGGTGTCAGACGTGAACTTCCTGCCTGACCCGTGTTCACTGCCGGGCGCTCAGAAGAAGAGAGCTCTGAACGAGAAGGAGCGTCTGCTCTATGCTCCCATGGCCGGGGTCGGGGGGGTCGTTTACGATAAGGACGCCGTTTACATCGACCTGCCCGCTAGCCACGTCAATCTGCAACAGGTGAGTTTGTTGTCAGCAGCATGTTTACCTGAAGGAATCGACTGGAGACGTTCAGACACGTTTGGTACCTTTAACTTATACTGACTTAATTATGTTCAAAGGCAAACCTGTCCTGTGTGATTCCCTCGAAGAGCAGATGGAGAGTTTTGTGTGTACCTGGTGTTATGTGTATTTTTGCGTCCTCGCTGTAGGAGGAGGGGCGTCCCACCACGGAGCTGGTTCAGTCTCTTATCGACACACACGCCACTCTGGACGCAAAGATGGCCGCCAGTAAAGTGTCTCTGTTCAGCGGCTCGGCCACGCTGGATTCTGCAGCCGTGGAGGAGCAGAGCGGGTGAGACACGACACATACACACAGAGACACACACACACACACACACACGCACACGCACACGCACACACAGAGACACATGCGCGCACACAGAGACACACACACACACACACACACACAGAGACACATGCACACACACAGAGACACACACACACACACACACACACAGAGACACATGCGCGCGCACACACACACACACACACACACAGAGAGACACATACGCGCGCACACACACACACACACACACTCAGAGACACATGCACACACACACACACGCAGACACTAAGACTCACACATAAACACACAGACACACACACAAGCACACACACTTTATTATCATCACATTTAACTTTCAAGGATTCATGATGACAAACTTCAACTTGTGAGTTTGTTAAAGGTTAAGTATAATTGTTTTTGTGTGTGTGACAGAGAGGGGGCGGGGCTCCAGGAGACGCTTGTGTTAGACCCTCACACTCAGAGAGAGAGGAGGAAGGTGGTCTTCAATAAGGGGGAGGAGGAGGAGGAGGAGGACGATGATGAAGATGAAGAAGACGATGACGACAGTGAGGACAGCGATGAGGATCAGGAGGATGAAGACGGAGATGATCTGTCCGGGTTTCTGAAGAAGGCGAGAGCTGAATCCGATCAGGCGAGTCAGAACGTTCCTCCTCCGGAGAAGAAACAGAAGCTGGAGGAGACGAAGGAGGGAGGCGTGGAGGTGCCGGTGTTCGCTGACAGTGAGGACGAGCTGGAGAGGAGCGATGAAGAAGAGGAGAGTGATGAAGAGGAGGAGGAGGCCGGTAGAGCAGGAGACTCTGGACACTGTTCTGAGGAGGAGGAGGAGGAGGAGGAGAGTGATGAAGAAGATGACGACGAGTCAGGGGAGGAGGATGAGGAGGGAGAGAAGGAGAACGAGGAGGAAGAGGAGGAGGAGGGTAAATATGTAAACTGTTGAATCAGGTGCCTTAAAGACTGTAGAATAACAAACCTGACTTAAACAGGGTTAACTGCTAGTTGACAAGCCGCCATTACTGTGGCGGCGTCTCCCTCCCTGCATGTTTGAATGTGAGCGGTGGAGTTCTCAGCTGCTCAAACAGTCATGATGTACTTAAAATTTGTGAAAAAATGATGAGTGAATGTAACACGCTGTATGAGAGCGGACACATTCAACGTCCACACAGAGGACGGAGGTATTCTTCAGGGACATCGAGGCGAGTGTGTAATAAGTCACGTCTGACCTCTCTGAGGGATCTGTAGGGGTTTAGTCGTCCATCTGCAGGTGATTCATGAAAAGATCTCGTCTGTTAGTGAGCATCGTCAGGTCAGAGCTGCTGCTTTAACAAAACGTGCTCAATGAATATGTACAGAAATGTATTTCAAACTAATCTGAGAGGATAAAATGTAGCAGCTGACGCTAACGAGCTCGTAGAATAACGTTATATTACTCAGCGCTTCATCTCACCTCTATCATCCTCAGGCTCTCTGAGGTGGAAGGAGGGTCTGCAGCAGAAAGCCTCCCAGGCGTTTCTACGGCAACAAGAGGCTGCCCCCAACCTGAGGAAACTGGTGTACGGCTCAGGTAAGTTTCATGGCTTTGACCAGCTAACGTCCATGCTCCCCTGAAGCCCTCATTATAATAATGAAGAATATTTACAAACGTTTTCTTTCTGACCTCTCTGTCTGCGGACGCTCGTCTCTTTCTCGTCCCCTTTATGATTTAATCACAAACTCTGAGCGAGCAGACAGGAGCCCGAACTCGTGACTGATCTGTTCGACGTCTGAAACTGAAATAAAAAAGAAGATATTAATGTGAGGGGGGTTTCACACCAGGGACCCGGGACCAGGGTCCGAGTACACTTGACCCTGAAGTCTGTTTCATGTGGTCAGCGTGAACACAGACGTACCGTTCTCGCCTTGAAGAGGTGGTCCCGGGCACGATTCATGTTCACACGAGTATGGTCTGCGGCTATGTGAAGTTATCCTAAACGGCTCCTGTCACTTTAAAAACCGCTGTATCCATGCAGCACGGCCCGTTTCATCCTCTGAGCTGCACGGTAGACGTAGGAAGAGGGTCGTTGTTGGAATCTCAGAAATAACAAAAACATCCACAGTTAGCAGGATGGACTCGCAGCGCACCAGTGGTTGCCATGGTTACTTCTTCTTCCCGCTTCTTGGAGGATTTTGCAAACCTACTTACCGTGCCTTAAACTCCATGATAGTAAATGAACGCTGTGATTCGGCGTCTGTGTTCTGGTCATGATGAAGTTGCGTTTGCAGTTTTAGGAGCTGAGACGGGGGATGAAGAGGACGAGGAGGAGCTGGGCGGGCTGTTCAGAGTCAGCCGACCTCAGAAGAGTAAAAAGGTCACAGCAGACGCTATCGACTGTTCACGCTTTAACCCCGACACGTCACATGACTGGGACCTGGAGGAGGTACACAAACACACACACACACACACACACACACACACACACACACACACACACACACACACACACAGTCAGTTGTCTTTCTCCGCTGCTGATGTTAAATCATGTTTGAACGAAACTTGATGTGTTCTTGTTCTCCAGATGCTGAACTCCATCAGAGACTGTTTTGTGACGGGGAAATGGGAGGAGGGAGAGGATGCTGAGACGCTGCTCAAACAGGATGGTGAGAGAGGAGCAGTCACACACACACACATGCACACAAACACCTTTAAACTGTTGAAAACATACAGGCTGAGTCTTCAGGCGTGTCTTTTTAAATGAAGGTTTATGTAGCTCTCAGGTGAGGATCATGAATAATAGTGATCTATCTTGCACTTCAGTTTAGTTTGTAACTATTGCAGCACACAGACCATGATATAGTATTGCACTTAACATGCTGTGTGTGTTTTCGTTCAGAGGAGCTGTACGGGGACTTTGAGGACCTGGAAACGGGGGCGGTCCACAAAGCTCAGGATGAGGTGAGTCAGTCTCAGCTGTGTGTTTTTTAAATGAAGCATCAGTTTGTTCTGATCTGTTTGATTTTTCACACCTTCATCCTCCTGGTTTTGCTTCATCCCTGCTGACCACCAGGTGGCGGCGCTTCAGTTTTTTTTAGAGTCTATTCAGCCAGTTCAGATCAGAGGTCACTCGTGGTCATCCTGCTTCTTTTTCTTCAGATGTTGAAGTGTTTCTGTCCTCTAACATCTCCTTACAACTGTTTTCTCCTCCTCCACCCTGTGACCAGCAGAACAGTGAGAACGATGAAGAGGATGACGAGGAGGATGGTGCAGAGGGCGTGATGAAGGTGGATGAGGATGAGAAGCAGAAGAAGAAGCGCCTGGATAAGAAGCGGCGGCTGAAGGAGAGGTTCGATGCCGAGTACGATGACGGCGAGGCCACGTACTTCGATGACCTGAAGGAGGAGATGCAGAAACAGGCCGAGGTGAAACATCTGGAGACGTTAGGAGTCTTTCTTTTTAAATATTTACTTCTTTTATCGTTTTAATGTGGGCGGCGTGTTTGTGCAGCTCAACAGGGCGGAGTTTGAGGACGTGGACGATGACACCAGAGTGCAGTACGAAGGCTTCAGACCGGGGATGTACGTCAGAGTAGAGATCTCCTCTCTGCCCTGTGAGTTTGTCGTTAACTTTGACCCCCAGTATCCCATCATCCTCGGGGGGCTGGCCTCCAGTGAGGGCAACGTGGGATACCTGCAGGTACGAGACACACAGAGCAGAGAATGCTAAGCTAACGAGTGTGAAGCTTCGCAGAGCTCACACAACCATGTGTAGAGTGTATTTTTCACTTTGGCGCCCTCCGAAGGTTTCTGAGTGCAGCGTCACTCTAGGTAAACACACAGTGCCGTTAACTCCTCCCCCTCAGAGACACCGTGCCTGTGGCGCATTTCAACTAGCTAGTTACAGTAATGTTAGCTGATTTCTGACTCTGCATCTCGTTTGCAGATCGTTGAAGAGACGACTTTTTGGTGTCAGATGGATTTATTGATTTCTTCGTATCAAACCTGAGATATGACTCGGGTTAGGCGGCTTCCTGCAGCCGCTAAAGCTGCTAAGCACGAGACAGTGATGACAGCACTAACGATACATGCTAACGCTACGTTACAATCTGTTATGAATTGGGATGCAACAATACAGCCCATGGTTCTATGCATACCTCTGTTCTTTGAGGTTTGGTTCTGATTCCCCAGACCATGGGAGTGTTTGTGTCTGCTAACGTCCTTATACCAGCGCATGAACTCACAGGCACAAACAGACAGAGACAGAGTGAAATACTCAGCATGGAAGCTCGTACGTAAAACTGGTTAAGCACAATTTACAAGCGTGTATTGAATCGTGGGTGGCGTACAGAAAGGTTCAAGAGACGGGCTAACTGGCTGCTTTGTAGCTGAAGGCTGCTGTGTGAACTAGCGCCGTAAAGACATATGCACTTCTCACTAGATGACCTCACCGCTGATAAAGTTACATAGTGCTGAAAACAGGCGAGCGGGACACTCTGTGGACATGAGAGAGACGCCATTCTCCTCTATATTTTACAAATAATTCATGTTACTCTTTTTTACTTTTGCATTTTCATGCTTCTCTGCTCCCTAACATAACCCTAACCCCTTAAATATGTTGAGCATGTAACTATTAAAGTTGTATTTTAAAGTTTTGGTTTTTTTTGTGTGTGTGTGTGTGTAGATGCGTGTGAAGAAACACCGTTGGTACAGTCGTATCCTGAAGACCAGAGACCCTCTGATCCTGTCGTTGGGGTGGAGACGTTTTCAGACCATCCCCCTGTATCACATTGAGGACCACAACGGACGCCACCGCCTGCTCAAATACACGCCACAGCACATGCACTGTGGAGCGTCCATCTGGGGTCAGACTCACACACTTTGAACTCCGCCTTCTCTTAAGATCAGACATGAACGATGTGATTCAGGCCACAATGAGAGGAAGACACATTTTGCTCTTTATAAACGCTTGGTGTGGCCTTGCATATAAAAACATCAGAAATACGGTTTATTCTGATGAAAAAGATCAAACTCTGTACAGTAATAACCTGTTTCTCCGGGTGTCCCTGCAGGTCCGGTCACTCCTCAGGGGACGGGTTTCCTGGCGGTGCAGTCTGTGTCGGACACTAAAGTGAGTTTAACGTTTGTTCTAAAGGTCATCGTGGCGCTCTGTCTTCTACAACCTAACCTCCATGTTTCCCTGCAGACCAATAATTTCCGTATCGCAGCGACGGGAGTCGTTCTGGATTTAGATAAATCTGTGACCGTCGTGAAGAAACTCAAACTGATCGGTTACCCGTACAAGATCTTCAAGAACACCAGCTTCATCAAGGTGTGTGTGTGTGTGTGTGTGTCGTTGCATCGTTTAAAGCAACTCTCGTTGTGATCACGACCATGTAAACCATTCCAAGGTACACAGCTCCTGGTACAGGCTCTTGTGATTTCTCTACTGGCAGGTCTTCCTATCAAACCCCTGCAGATGATACAAAATGAAGCAGAGCGACTGGTTTTCAACCTTCCTAAAACATCATGTCACTCCGCTTTTCATCTCCTTCCTCTGGCTCCCAGTTACTGCTCGTATCAAATTTAAAACTCTGCTGCTCACTTACAAAAATGGCTCCTCCTTACCTAAACTCTATAATCCAGGTCTACACTCCCTCCCGCCCACTACGCTCTGCCACTGAAAGGCGTCTGATCCAACCTTCACAACAGGGTCCTAAGACGCTAACTAGACTCTGCTCCTCTGTCCTCTTTGAACGGCCTTGTGTCTGAAATGTGGGATTGAACGTTGATGTAACATTGAATGTATTTGTGTTCTGATCCGTGTCCTCAGGGAATGTTCAACACGGTCCTGGAGGTGGCCAAGTTTGAAGGCGCCTCGGTGCGGACGGTGTCAGGAGTCCGAGGACAGATCAAGAAAGCTCTGTCTTCACCCGCAGGAGCGTACAGAGCCACGTTTGAGGACCGCCTGCTCATGAGCGGTCAGTGTTTACTGTCACTGTTTACATCAAGTGTTGTCTTTACGCCTCGTTTCCACTAACGGGTGTCTACAGAACACATGATGCCTCATAGTGTTTGTAGATCTGTTAGTAAACACATGATGCCTCATAGAGTCTGTAGATCTGTTAGTAAACACATGATGCCTCATAGAGTCTGATGTGCTGGACCAAACATCAAGAAGATTCCCAAAGGAATGAATCGACCTCTGGTTGACCCGACTCCGAACACAACCAGAGGTGGAAACGAGGCGTAGACATCCTGTTGTTGTTGCTGCTGTTGTTATTGTTGTTGTTATTGTTATTGTTGTTGTTGTTGTGTGTGCAGTAGTTAAACTTTTTGTTGTTGTTGTTGTTGTTGATGTGCAGTAGTAGTTAAACTCTGTAGTGTTGTTGTTTTTGTTGTTGTTGTGCAGTAGTTAAACTTTGTGTTGTTGATGTGTGTGCAGTAGTTAAACTTTTTGTTGTTGTTGATGTTGTTGTTGATGTGCAGTAGTAGTTAAACTCTGTAGTGTTGTTGTTTTTGTTGTTGTTGTTGTGCAGTAGTTAAACTTTCTGTTGTTGTTTTCCACAGACATTGTGTTCCTGCGCTCCTGGTTCCCGGTCTCGGTCCCTCAGCTCTATAACCCGGTCTCCTCCATGCTGCTGCCCGTCGGGCAGAAGGACAGCTGGGCCGGCATGAAGACGCTCGGACAGCTCAAACACGAGCTCGGCATCCGCAACAAACCCAACGCCGACTCTCTGTACAAGGTGAGGTCACCTGAGGTCCAATCAGCTGTGTGTTGTCAGGGTCCATATTATACATTTATGTTATTTAATCAGTTTCATCGCTGATTTCTTTTGTAGTAAATGAAATATCTTTGGAGTCGGGGACGATCAGAGACATGAAGCTGTCTCTGGACTTTGTCTCCTGACACAAACAGATTGTATGCTTGTTGAGTTTTATTTCCCGAAGAGACGTTTAATCTGAGTGTGTGTTTACTCTGCAGCCGGTGGTCCGAGGTCCGAGGCGTTTTAACCCCCTCCACATTCCCAAAGAGCTGCAGAAAGCCCTCCCCTTTAAGAGCAAACCCAAACTACAACAGGCCAAAGGAAAAGTTCCCCGAGACCTGAAGAGACCCAGCGTGATCCGAGAGCCCCACGAGAGAAAGGTGAGCCGGACCAGAACCTTCAGTGTGATCACATGACCTCCTGATAGTTACTGATTTAACTATGAGAGCAGAGGTCAGAGGTCAAATGTTTCACAATGAGACGAAGGCAAACAAGACCTTGTTTACTGAAGATTTGTTTAAGGGGGGTTGGCTCAGAGGACTCGTGTCATCTTTCAGTTTAGTGAGTTTGGATTACCAGGATTCGAAGAATTAAATAGTCTCTGAAGATGAATTATCTTTACATTCAAAACCAGTCAAACCCAAAGAATCACATCAATGAAGTCAAAATGATTTTTATTATTTAGGAAAGAAAACAGTCACTTAGTCATCACTGTGCAAACAAGACTCAGATCAACCTGGAACTTCTCTTACTGTTGTTCTTCTCTCGTCCTGCAGGTGGCTGCGCTGCTCCACGCTCTGAGCACAGTCCACAACCAAAAGAAGAAGAAAGCACACACGCTGCAGCACGCTAAACACAAGGAGTTCCTGCAGGAGAAGGAGAAACAGGAGGATGCCAAGCTGAAGAGACAGAAGGAGGCGCGCAAAAAACTCTACCGCGTCATGGGCCAGACAGAGCAGAGGAAGCAGAGGTCCAGCCTGAAGGGGGCGCCGCAGGATGACTGACCTGCATTTAGACTGAATACAGGGATACATCCAGTCAGTGGACTGAGAGCTCTGCAGACTGATGTGGACTGTTAAGAGTTTCTGTCACAGGAGCTTTTTGCTTTTTTGTGTTTCTAAGTGTGTGAAGATTAACTGTAAAAACGTTCTTTTGTTTTAATAAAACACAAAATAACCTGAACTCACTCTCAGCTATCAGTCAGATGTGTAGTCCACCACATGGCAACCTGTGTTAGTATAGACTCTAGAGAGGAGGGGACGGGGGGACACAGCTCTCTACAATAAAGTTTGACGTTTCAGAGGCGGAAGTTAGATCAGGTTCATCACTACAGACTCTCACACAACACAAGATTAACAGTGAACAGAGTTTGTACCTGATCCAGGATCAGATGTGTCAATCAGGACCTGATCCAGGATCAGAGCTGATGCTCCTCTTGTTATGTGTCTCCTCTTTACCTGCTCAGGTGGACGATTACTCCAGGAGGAGTTTTGTGCCTTTAATTAGAGCGCACTCACACCAGGCCCAGTCGCCCCGTACCCTACCCCCCCTCCCCATTCCCCCTCTGGCCTGCACACTGCTCAAGGACTAACCGGGCCAGAGCACGGTCCTGGTACATAACGTCGTAACACAACATATGCACGACTTCACGTGATCAAGACAGGAACCAAAGACCTAAGAAACATCTTCAAAGAAGATAAATGACATTAACCACTGTAATGAATTCTTAAATTTAATATTGGGGGGGTATGTTTTGTGATTATTACATTTAAACTTTAGGACATCTGATTTTTGATTGTGAATACACAAAATCTTTGTAGGGATCATTTTAAAATTGGATTTCTGAAAAAGATTTACATTCACCAAAGTTAAAATAAAATATAATCAAAGATGGAGAATAAAAAAAGGAAACGCAATCATTCCCTCATTCATTTTTACAAACAATTCAAACATAATGTAGATTATTTCTGTAGAAGTCAAACCAAGTTTTATATTCACGAGTGAATAACTTTAAAAACACTTAAAGGAAACAAAACAAGCTTAAGAGATAAACAAAATTATATGGAGGTTTAGATTTTTTTAAGATTTGTTTAAGTCACGCTTAGTCTGAGAAAGTGTGTTTTGTACCTTTTTATATTTGGAACAGCCAGCCTTTCATTCAAAAATAAATGTGGGGGAGCTTTTATTTTGAAGGGCTCGCCTCGCCATGTGTTGCTGCTGTGGGATCTTTGGAGGACCGTAGAAGAAGAAGAGGACTACATCGTGCCGGCTGGTAGTAAAGTTTTGTGTTGGAGAATTCAGCGGACAGTGAGACTGATTTAAGGCCGACTCTGAGCGACATGGCGCCGATGAACCTCCTTCATAACTCCGCTACAGGAGCGGGTAAAAAATGCTAAGCTAACTCCCTTTATATACTGTTAGCGTTAGCCCGCGGAGCTAGCCGTGTGTGTGAGTGTACGTGTCACTCTATGTTTGTGTGTGCGTGTGCGTGTGCGTGTGTGTGTGTGTGTGCGTGTATGTGTCACTCTATGTTTGTGTCACTCTATGTTTGTGTCACTCTATGTGTGTGTGTGTGCACATGTGTGTCACTGTGTGTGTTCAGAGTAAGCTCTCCTCTCAAAGATCGTTTATTCTGGGTTATTTCAGTGTAACATGCAGCAGGTGAGTTATTAACAGTTTATTCACGCGAACACTGAGGAATGAATCAATGACACTTCTGGAAGAGTCACGTGTTTGTTGGTTTAAGAACTGAACAGAATCCCTGAAGGTCTTAAAGTTGTGATTGGATGTGTTCACGTCTTATTTTCTGTCTCTTTAGTTCAGTCAGGCTGCTGAGCCTGAAGTCGTCTGTTCACTGGAGGAGAGTTCAGTGTGTGTTTGACATCACGACTCAACGATACACTTTGACATAAACCCACAGAAACAGAAACAATTCAGAAATGTTCATCTCAGCAGCAGAGTATGGTTTGTGTCTGACCTCGTCACTCCTCGCAGATTATTTTACCTGCAGACGTGAGGAGTGATTGGATGATCATTTCTGTCAGGTGGATGCGCTGAGCGGTACCTGTGCAGGTCAGAAAGTGAAGGAGGGAGATCTGAAACAGAGGGCTGCTCTGAAGGAGGTGTTTTGTCGTGTGGATTGTGACGCATGTCATTTTGGGAAGTCAGTGCAGCTCGAGTTCTCTGTCTGAACTTGCTCGCAGGCCTCGCCTCATGCACGTCCTAGTTTAGCACCAGTGTAACCCTTTCCTGACACGAGCTGGTGATGCGTCCCTCTTCTTATTAACCATAAAACCTTCTCCAGCTGCTGGTTTGTATCCACCTCACTGTGTCAGCTTCGTCTGCAGGTCTAGATGAACTCCTGTGTCTGTTCCTCCAGGATGCAGGAGCGAGTTGGAGTTGGAGCTGCGTGCCGTGCTGCAGCAAAGGATCATGGTCCTGGACGGAGGGATGGGGACGATGATCCAGCAGCAGAAACTGGAGGAGGAAGATTTCAGAGGAGACGAGTTCAAAGAGCATCCTCTTCCTCTGAAGGGAAACAACGACCTGCTGAGTATCACACAGCCAAACATCATCTACAACATACACAAGGTAAGAATATCATAATACAACATTAATAAATGTATACACTAAATATAATCTACAACATACACAAGGTAAGAATATCATTAATATATACAGCCAAACATCATTTATAACAGTCTATCTTACAGAAACACCGGGTTATTCTCTAAACGTGTTCTGCTTTGAACGACAGAGTCCTCCAAACACACAAACTTTCTATGTTCACACCAAGCAGCAACCTTATTCTGCATTTCCTCGAGTGTCCACTAGAGGCTGTCTGCAGAAGCACAGGAAGTCACATACACACCCATTCTAAAAAGTCTGTTTTTACAGCAGAGATTAACATGTTTACAGCCTGGTTCAAAAAACAAATAGGTCTGATTAGTTCATGTCTCGATCCACACACACTGTACGGGGTGTGAATGTTTTGATGACTCATCCGTTTTGATTTGATGAAGGATAAGAGTTATTCACAATAAGGTGTGTAGCTGACCTGATTGACAGGTGTAACAGTTTGTCAGGAGGCTTAAAACCTGCCTCAGCTCCAGCTCTCAGCCTGTTGTTATGTTGACTGAAAGAAAGTTAGGCTGAGACAGCATTTCCAGCATGGAGACCGCCATCGATGGGACTCTAGCGCCCCCTGCAGGAACAGACGGGGACGCCACTCAGGCATCATTCATTTTTAGTCTGTGGTTGACACTGAGAACCTCCTTATGACTGTCATTGTAACTGTGTCAGTGACGCACTCTGTGACCTTTGACCTCCTGCTCTTTCAGGACTACCTGTTAGCCGGAGCTGACATCATAGAGACCAACACCTTCAGCAGCACCTGTACGGCTCAGGCTGACTACGGACTGGAACACCTGGTGAGTCTCATTCTGACACACACACCTGTACACACACACACCTGCACACTCACAGACCTGTACACACACTCTGATGTACCTCTGTGGACAGCACACACACTTACCTTTACACACTCACCTGTACACAAAAAGGTGGTCATCACTATCAGCCCTCAGGTGTTCACTCCTCAACGTGTGTGTGTGTGTGTGTGTGTGTGTGTGTGTGTGTGTGTGTGTGTGTGTGTGTGTGTGTGTGTGTGTGTGTGTGTGTGTGTGTGTGTGTGTGTGTGTGTGTGTGTGTGTGTGTGTGTGTGTGTGTGTGTGTGTGTGTGTGTGTGTGTGTGTGTGTGTGTGTGTGTGTGTGTGTGTGTGTGTGTGTGTGTGTGTGTGTTTGTTTCAGGCGTACCGTTTGAACAGAGCATCTGCAGAGCTGGCGAGGAGAGCGGCTGATGATGTCACCAAACAGACGGGTTAGCTCTGCCTATAGAGAAATGGCAACATTACAGTCGATATGATGTGAGCGTGTCGGGGGGGCTTCCACCTGTGTGTAACATCACCTCTGACCGCTGATCTGTGTGTGTGTCTGTGTGTGTGATCAGGTGGTAAACGGTACGTGGCGGGGGCCCTGGGTCCGACCAATAAGACGCTGTCTGTGTCACCGTCTGTGGAGAGACCAGACTACAGGAACATCAGTGAGAACATAATGACCTTGGGGGGGGGGGGGGTTAATGAATTACCCAATATGGTTCTTCTTCTATGTTTGTTTGATTTTTACTAGAACCACATTGAAGTTAAAAACTGTTGAGTGTTATTTTTAGATTGTGTGTGTGTGTGTGTGTGTGTGTGTGTGTGTAGCGTTTGACCAGCTGGTGGAGGCATACTCGGAGCAGGTCAGAGGCCTGTTAGACGGAGGAGCGGACATCCTGATGGTAGAAACCATCTTTGACACCGCCAACGCCAAGGTGATCAGCGTCTTCTTCTCGTCAAAGTGATGTCATGATGTTGAATGTTTAAAGCCGCCATGTTTTCAGCAGGAGTTCATGTCACTTCCTGTGTGTGTGTGTGTCCAGGAGTTCATGTCACTTCCTGTGTGTGTGTGTGTCCAGGAGTTCATGTCACTTCCTGTGTGTGTGTGTGTCCAGGAGTTCATGTCACTTCCTGTGTGTGTGTGTCCAGGAGTTCATGTCACTTCCTGTGTGTGTGTGTGTGTGTCCAGGAGCTCATGTCACTTCCTGTGTGTGTGTGTGTGTCCAGGAGTTCATGTCACTTCCTGTGTGTGTGTGTCCAGGAGCTCATGTCACTTCCTGTGTGTGTGTGTGTGTGTGTGTGTGTGTCCAGGAGCTCATGTCACTTCCTGTGTGTGTGTGTCCAGGAGCTCATGTCACTTCCTGTGTGTTTCTCTGCAGGCAGCTTTGTTTGCCATCGAACTGATGTTTGAGAAGAGCTACGACAGAAAACCCATATTTGTAAGTCTTATGAATTATCTCTTTCATGGGAGGATTTTCAGTTTCAGTCTTTTGCATATTCAGGATATAATATAAAATATATGGTAACATATTGCTCACCTGGTGCAGGTGTCGGGGACCATCGTGGACCGTAGTGGACGTACTCTGTCGGGTCAGACAGGAGAAGCTTTCGTAGTGAGTGTGTCACACGCTAAACCTCTGTGGTGAGATAAACTGCTGCACTCCCAATCGTCATCATATCTTATTAAAGAATATTTTATATATACTAATAGAGATGTGTGCGTGTGCGTGTGCATGTGCGTGTGTGTCTGTGTGTGTCTGTGTGTGTGTGTGTGCGCGTGTGTCTGTCTGTGTGTGTGTGTGAGACAGTATTGGTCTGAACTGTGCTCTGGGGGCCACAGAGATGAGACCTTTCATTGAAGCTATCGGACAGAACACCACAGCTTTTATTATCTGTTACCCTAATGCAGGTAAACACACACACACACACACACACACACACACACACACACACACACACACACACACACACACACACACTGATGAACAAACTTCATTGTGAAAATCTACAGAAAGTCTGGTATGAGCACCTGTTACACACACTGGCTGAATCTCGATGTCCTCCCTAAACCCTGAGTCCTTACTGACTCTATTGACGTCACCTGGAAAGTGATTGAGTACATGAGGCTGCGAGGGCTCTAATGGTTAAATACAAATGGGACAGCACTTTGCAACTTCTCTGTAACCATGACTGCATGATTTCAGGAAGCAAAAGCTTATTTTACGTTTTTTTACTTTACTCACTCACAGCCATGACGCTTATAAAAAAGTTCTACTCAATATAGGCCTATATATATATAAATGTCTTCGTTGTGGAAAAAATAAAGGTTAATCTTATCTTATAAATATAACGGGACTAATATGCTCTCTGTCTCTCTTGTTTTTGTTTATAGACTTGCAAATGAGTTCTGTAGTTTCCAAAGAAACTTTTTCGTAGACTGTGAATAGAGCGTGGTTTCACCTTCCTGTTTTTTTTACCCTCTCTACCTTTTTTCTGTTTTATGGCGTTTGTTTACCTTTCAATTGTTGTAGGCTTCCCCGGGAAATCATATGTTTCACGATTTTCCCGCGTGTGTGTGTGTGTCTCTGCAGGTCTTCCAAACACGTTTGGGGATTATGATGAAACTCCTCAGCTCACAGCGTCACATTTAAAGGTCCTGATCGTTTCATTATTATTTATTTATGAGTGTTGAGGGTGTTTACATGTTTAGTGATTATTAAAGGTAACCAACATGAAGCAGGACAGGGAACTCATGGCTCTGTGTTCTCTGATTGTTGTCTTGTGTTTGACTTGAATGTGTGTGTGCGTGCGTGTTTGTGTGTGTCTTCAGGAGTTTGCAGAGGACGGCTTGGTGAACATCGTTGGAGGTTGTTGTGGGACGACTCCAGCTCACATCAGGTCTGTGTCGTACGACCAGGCGCTGACCCTCTCTCCTCCCTCAGCAGAGCTCCTTAGCTTGCTGTACAAAGTGGAGATAGTGGCGCATTAATAATATCCACATCATGATGAAATGTTGACCTTTGAACTGTGTCAAAACCAGAGAAAAACTTTATTCAGCTCACCGCGGACATCTGAGTGTTGTAATCTGAGTCAACAGTTTGACCACCTTCAAAATAAAAGCACCACACTTCAGTTTGTCCACCTTCAAAATAAGAGCACCAGACTTCAGTTTGTCCTCCTTCAAAATAAAAGCACCAGACTTCAGTTTGTCTACCTTGAAAATAAAAGCCCCACATGTTATAATGTTTACAAGGGGAAACTGAAATTCTCGGAGCAGAATATTTAATGGATGCATTGTGGATGGAGCAGCATGCGATGTTATATCTAAAGCTCACATTGTTAAACATGATGTTATAAATCATCGTTTCTTGATTCTGTCTTCTCGCAGATCGATATGTGAGGCTGTCAGACACTGCAGACCTAGAGCGCCACCTGCTGATATTTATCAGGACTACCTGCTGCTGTCAGGTGAGACAACATATTCATATTACTGACCTTCACATGACATCAGCGCCCACCTGGGCATGAAAGGCTTCTTAGGAAGCAATCTGTACCGTGCCTAAGCACGCTTCACCCTTAAAGTTTGGAATTTCTGTATATATTTAGATGTACAGACATGATTTAGTTAACGGCTGTTCCTGATGTCAGTCAGAGCTGATAGAGTGAGCTGTGACGAGGCCGAGCAAGGACAGCTTAGTGTTCTCTCTCATATCTGGTTTGTTTGGTAAACTTAGTGTCTGCTGACATTTGTCTTAGACATCACATCCTAGTGTAGGTTGGATATTATGACCTGACGCTGCATCACACGTGTGCTGTTAATCCATTTCACCTCATGAGTATCTTATAAACTTTTTCAACTTAACTGATGTGTTTTCATGATTTCTGTATGAAACTGGATGTTAACAAGATCTGATGTTGGTCCTCTGCAGGTCTGGAGCCGTTCAGGATCGGTCCGTACACAAACTTTGTGAACATTGGCGAGCGCTGTAACGTGGCCGGATCACGGAAGTTTGCCAAGCTGATCATGTCGGGAAACTACGAGGTGAGAAAAAAAAACAACTATCATCATTAAAAAATTATCAAAGTTTTTCATGAAGTCTCAAATACTTGTGTGTGTGTGTGTGTGTGTACTTTGTGTGTGTGTGTGTGTGTGTGTGTGTGTGTAGGAGGCTCTGAGCATCGCTAAGGCTCAGGTGGAGATGGGGGCTCAGATTCTGGATATAAACATGGACGAGGGGATGCTGGAGGGACCAGCCGCCATGACACGTTTCTGCAACTACATCGGCTCAGAGCCCGACATCGCCCGGGTACGAAGCTGAAACACACACACAGATTATGAGTCGTGTTACCTGCTAGATACCTGGTTCTTACACCTGTTCTTCTAGACTGTTCTTCTAGTTCTCCTGCAGTGTAGCTTTAAAGAGCCATCCTCACAAGCCTCAGTTCTATTAAAACAGCGAACAGGCGACAGTAAACAGGTCAAACATGGTGTGTGACCTCCCTGACCTCAGAACATCTGGATGTGATCCTTTTACTAAAACAAGTCAAAAGATGATTTATTGTTGTTTAAAAGGTTTCGGTTAAGGTTTGCTCTTCTTTGGAACAAGTCTGCTAATCAGTTAATCAGTAACCTCCCCTTCAGGTCCCTCTGTGCATCGACTCGTCCAACTTTGCGGTGATCGAGGCGGGGTTAAAGTGCTGTCAGGGGAAATGTGTCGTCAACAGCATCAGCCTGAAGGAGGGTGAGGACGACTTCCTGCAGAAAGCCACCACCATCAAACGCTACGGAGCCGCCGTGGTCATCATGGCGTTTGACGAGACGGGGCAGGTAAGGAGGAGTACACACACACACACACACACACACACACACACACACACACACACACACACACACACACACACACACACACACACACACACACACACACACACACACACACACACGTAGACTTTTTTTTGGGTTTAAGCCTCATGTCCTCCTCAGGCCACAGACACGCAGCGGAAGGTGGAGATCTGCACTCGGGCTTACAATCTGTTGACCGATACAGTCGGGTTTGACCCCAATGACATCATCTTTGACCCCAACATCTTGACCATCGGAACGGGCATGGAGGAACACAACGAGTACGCCATCAACTTCATCGGAGCCACCAAACTCATCAAGGTAACCAGTCACACTGATGATTAGTGAGGATTTTAACGATCTCAGAACAGACCCACTTTCAGCACCACCGAGGCACAACAGGTGAGCACGGACCAATCAGCTGCTCCCGACAGGCCGCTCACAGACCAATCAGCTGCTTCCGACCGGGAGGATGATTTTCTGACATTTCTGACAGGACTTTGTTTTTGAACTTTTAGCCTTTATCATGGCTCAGATAAGACATTCGGGAAAGTAGCTAGAGGCCAGACTTGAACCCTGGCCGTCCACTTGAAGGACCATAGTGTCTGAACATGGGGCGGAGCCTCACCGTTAGACCCTCAGAGCCCAGTGATGTTCTGTTTTATATTTCGGTCTTACTTCTGCACACACTCATTCAGAGAGAGCAGAGCCACGAGACAATTCCCCGATTTCAGGACTTCTGTATATTGATGCTGAACTGAAAGACAGCCTCTGATATCACCATGGCAACAGCAGGCATACCTGAAACGTAGACAGAAACGTAATATCTGCAGACCTCCTGCTGAGAATGTATGTTATGATTCAGCTGCTGGTTAGCTTGTGTTAGTTGGTGATGCTGAGTGTCAGAGAGAGAGAGAGAGTTTAATGGTGTGTGTTTATGAGACACCTGAGATACAGTTCTGACTTCATTCTCTGTCTGTGGGAGTTTTCTGTCGACCATTCTGAACGCTCCGCCCTGATTTCACTCGCACAGTGACTGAGCACACCGGACGTAAGACGTTCTGGTTCTCTGTCATTCTCATATGATTTTTGTATGTGTGTGTGTGTACGTGTGTGTGTGTGTGTGTGTGTGTGTGTAGGAGAAGTTACCCAGAGCCCGGGTCAGTGGCGGTCTGTCCAACCTGTCGTTCTCCTTCAGAGGGATGGAGGTGATCAGAGAAGCCATGCATGGAGCCTTTCTATACCACGCCATCAAGGTAAACACACACGCCGACACAAACGCACGCACTCACACACACACACACACACACGCGCACATACACACGCGCACACATAAACACGCACACACATGCACACGCGCACACACACATTATCACATCGTCTGATCAGAAACCTCAGTGATCTCCATAGTTGTGCCGGTGGCCTAGTGGTTAGTGTGAGTGCCCAATGTATGGTGGCACCTGAGCGGACTGCCTGGGTTTGAATCAGACCTGTGGCTCATTTCCTGTTTGTCATCCTCCTCCCTCCCTCTCTCTCTCTCTCTCTGATTTCTGACTCTATCCACCAATACCTATAATAAAATGGCATCGTCAAAATCAGAGAAAACTGTAGAGAATCTCAGTTTGTCCCACAATATATATAAACTCAGTGTGTGTGTCCCCGTGTGTTTGCCTGCCTGTCTGTCTGTCTGTCTCTGTGTGCGTGTGCGTGTGCGTGTTAGGATGGTATGGACATGGGGATAGTGAATGCTGGGAGTCTTCCCGTGTATGATGACATCGATAAAGAGCTGCTGTTACTGTGTGAGAACCTGATCTGGAACAGAGACACGGAGGCCACAGAGAAACTGCTCACCTACGCTCAGGTAACACAAACACACACGCAAACATACGTTTGCAAGTCTTTACAAAAAACAAATAAATATACTCATCTTCTGATCTCGTTTAGAAGTGGAGGGGAATTTTAACTTGAAAGTGTCTTTAGGCGCTGGACGACACACACCGACTCTGTGTGGCTAGCCTAGCTGTTGTTGCTAACTACTTGTTATGTGTACAGGGAGGTTGGTCGTGTTGCTGCTGTACTTTGTTTTTATAAAGCTTGGTCGACTCATGTCCAGCTACAGACTGCCTGGTGTTTGTAAAAAATCTGAAATCTTTCCATAATCTTTACTTTCAGTTTTTCTTATTCATGCTTATTTGTTTTAATTTGGAACGTGTCTGTGCTTCTACTGCCCCCTACTGGCTTTATTAGAACAACGTGAAAGGAGGGAAGAAGGTTGTTCAGACGGACGAGTGGAGACGAGGCAGTGTGGAGGACAGGCTGGAGTACGCCCTCATTAAGGTCAGATCACACTCACCGTAAGTTACACGTTTGAAGAAGTCTCCGTGTTTTGACCTATTCAGGGTGAGCTGCATGTGTGAACGCAAACAGCTGAAATGATCACTCAGACTTTATCCAGCACGCCGCCTGCTGAAGTCAGCGTGATGTCACGGTGAGCGAGCAGTGTGATGTCTGTGCACGTGACGAGGCTGCTTCAGACTCTCTCCTGCTCGCCTGTTTGATTATTCACTCTTTGTTCAAGCTGTGAACTCGTCCAGTTTCACGCTGTGTGATATAAAGGGTGAAAGCGTCGATGAACATCATTCATACCTGTTCATGTTGTTGATGTGGTATCCGTCATGTTTCCTGTGTTCTATCAGGGTATAGACAAGTACGTGGTGGAGGACGTGGAGGAGTGTCGGGCTCAGGTGGAGCATTACACTCGACCCCTCCACATCATCGAGGGTCCTCTGATGAACGGGATGAAGGTGGTGGGCGATCTGTTCGGAGCGGGGAAGATGTTCCTGCCTCAGGTGTGATAATAACTCACCTGTTCTGACACTGACAGGATGTTTAAGCATCTCTCTGAATAACTCAGATTCTTGTGCGTGTGTGTGTGTGTGTGTGCAGGTGATAAAGTCTGCTCGTGTGATGAAGAAGGCCGTAGGATATCTGATTCCTTTCATGGAGAAGGAGAGAGAGGAGATGAAGGCTCAGTCAGGATCTACTGAGGACGTGGTCAGTCTACAATAATCATACATTTATGGAAGTAACATAAACATTCCTACTCCTCTTCTCCTCCTCTCTCTCCTCCTCTCTCTCTCTCTCTCCTCCTCCTCTCTCTCCTCTCTCTCTCTCTCTCTCTCCTCCTCCTCCTCTCTCTCTCCTCTTCCTCTCTCCTACTTCTCCTCTTCCTCTCTCCTACTTCTCCTCTTCCTCTCTCCTACTTCTCCTCCTCTCTCTCTCTCTCTCTCTCTCTCCTCCTCCTCCTCTCTCTCTCTCCTCTTCCTCTCTCCTACTTCTCCTCCTCTCTCTCTCTCCTCTCTCTCCTCTTCCTCTCTCCTACTTCTCCTCCTCCTCTCTCTCTCCTCCTCCTCTCTCTCTCCTCTTCCTCTCTCCTACTTCTCCTCCTCCTCTCTCCTCTCTCTCTCCTCCTCCTCCACTCCTCTTCATCCTCTTCCTCTCTCATCCTCCTCTCCTCCTCTTCATCCTGTTCCTCCTCCTCCTGCTCCTCCTCTCCTCTTCATCATCATCTTCCTCTCTCCTACTTCTCCTCCTCCTCCTCTCTCTCCTCCTCTCTCTCCTCCTCTTGCTCCTCCTTCTCCGCTCTTCTCCTCTTTCTTGCTCTCCTCCTCCTCCTCCTCCTCTCTCCTCTTCCTCCTCCTGCTCCTCCTCTCTCCTCTTCCTCCTCCTCCTCTCCTCTTCTTCATCATCTTCTTCCTCCTCCTGCTCCTCCTCTCCTCTTCATCCTCTTCCTCCTCCTCCTCTCCTCTTCTTCATCCTCTTCCTCCTCCTGCTGCTCCTCCTTCTGTTCTTCCTCATCTTCCTCCTCCTCCTCCTCCTCCTCATCTTCTTCCTCCTCCTCCTCGGTAGAATATAATGATCACCTGTTCCTCCTCCCTCTTCCTCCTCTATAGGATCCATATCAGGGCACCATCGTCCTCGCCACCGTTAAAGGAGACGTTCACGATATCGGGAAGAACATTGTAGGTGTGGTCCTCGGCTGCAACAACTTCAGGTGAGAGCGCTTTACACCTGCAGACTCTGTGCAGCGTCTCTCTGAAGGATCTCAGCTCTGAACGCTTCACCTTTACATCCCTGCACTGATGCATCATGGGAGGAAAAGGGTTGGGGCCTCTGTGTGTTTCTAGGTTAAAGGGGGAGTCAGAAATGAGTCAGTGTGACCTCAGTGAGACTACGTCCATGTGTTATACAGTGTGTGATGTTTACAGTTTGAACCCTTAAAGGTACAGAGTGAATTAATCTGCTGAGTCATGTTTGTTCAGTGTTTCTCATAAATACACGTCATAAATATCTCTAAGTTAACAACGTTTCTGTTTGATGTTTCAGGGTGATCGATCTGGGTGTCATGGTTCCCTGTGATCGGATCCTCAGAGAGGCCGTCACACATAAAGCAGGTACGCTCACCTCTCTGATCTACTCTGATATACTGTATATATTTATAAATGTATGAATCAGATGTAAGTCATGATATATCTGGAGAAACCAACAAACCATTTACCATCATCAGCTGTGAGAGAGCGTAGATCAATCTCTGACATCACCAGCTGTTTGTCTCTGCAGATATCATCGGTCTGTCTGGTCTCATCACGCCATCGCTGGATGAGATGATCCACGTGGCCAAAGAGATGCAGAGACTCAACATGGACACGCCTCTGCTGATTGGAGGAGCCACCACCTCCAAGTAACACACACACGCACACAAACACTCAAACAGAATATGTGAGATAAGACAGAGAAATACCAAATACATATGTTTTGTGTGTGTTTTGTGTGCTGTCAGGACACACACGGCGGTGAAGATCTCTCCTCGGTACTCGTCTCCTGTGATTCATGTTCTCGATGCTTCCAGAAGTGTTGTAGTGGTAAGAGCACACCTGAGACATCCAGCTGACATCAAACACACCTGAGACATCCAGCTGACATCAAACACACCTGAGACATCCAGCTGACATCAAACACACCTGAGACATCCAGCTGACATCAAACACACCTGAGACATCCAGCTGACATCAAACACACCTGAGACATCCAGCTGACATCAAACACACCTGAGACATCCAGCTGACATCAAACACACCTGAGACATCCAGCTGACATCAAACACACCTGAGACATCCAGCTGACATCAAACACACCTGAGACATCCAGCTGACAACTAACACACCTGAGACATCCAGTTGACATCACACACACCTGACACATCCAGTTGACATTAAACACACCTGAGACATCCAGCTGACATTAAACATCAAACACACCTGAGACATCCAGCTGACATTAAACACACCTGACACATCCAGCTGACATCAAACATCAAACACACCTGAGACATCCAGCTGACATCAAACACACCTGAGACATCCAGCTGACATCAAACATCAAACACACCTGAGACATCCAGCTGACATCAAACACACCTGAGACATCCAGCTGACATCAAACACACCTGAGACAAACACACACAGTCGACAGATGTTCCTGCAGCTGCTCTCTGATTGACTCCATGTTGTTAAATATACCTGAAGATGAAGATCACTCCTCTCAGCGAGAGATCATGTGGCCATCATCTGTGTTTCTCTTTCTCTGTCAGTGCTCTCAGCTGCTGGACGAGGTGGTGAGGGACGAGTACTTTGAGGAGGTGAAGGAGGAGTACGAGGACATCAGACAGGAGCACTACGACTCTCTGAAGGTGAGAACAGTTCACATTTAAGCTTTGTTCACTCTTCCACTAAACTCCTGAAGTTGTCAGGGTGAGCTGCATGCGTGAACAGTCCTCCTGAAACTATCCAGATATGTTCAGGAGAGCAGATGTAATAGCTACAGAGAGAGCCAACATTTTCTCTAATGTGTGTTTGTGTGTGCGTGTGTTCTTGTGTGTGCGTGTGTGTGTGTCAGGATCGTAGGTTTGTGTGTCTGTCTCAGGCCAGAGAGCAGCGTTTACACATCGACTGGATGTCTCCGAGCAGACCAGGTCAGTTTATATTTATTAATTATATGGAGGAAAGATCTAGTGTGTTAGCTCACATACACTGTGTGTGTGTGTGTGTGTGTGTGTGTGTGTGTGTGTGTGTGTGTGTGTGTGTGTGTGTGTGTGTGTGTGTGTGTGTGTGTGTGTGTGTGTGTGTGTGTGTGTGTGTGTGTGTGTGTGTGTGTGTGTGTGTGTGTGTGTGTGTGTGTGTGTGTGTGTGTGTGTGTGTGTGTGTGTGTGTGTGTGTGTGTCAGTGCGTCCTCAGTTCTTGGGCCCTCGGGTTTTCCAGGACTACGATCTGACTCGTTTGTGTGACTTCATCGACTGGAAGCCGTTCTTCGACGTGTGGCAGCTCAGAGGGAAATACCCCAACAGAGGCTACCCAAAGATCTTCAAGGACAAGACTGTCGGTACGACGTCTCACTCTGCTCTTTGTACTGAACACATCCTAACACAATCTGCAATCTCGTTCAAATAACACACCTGTTTTCAAAGATGAGACAATGTGGCTGTTTTAGTGACATCATCGATGACATCATATTAAAAGGAAAAATAAAGAAGTAAGTCTTGGGTCTGATCTTAGCAGGAATACACAGAGTCAGTTTTTTTTATTTCTCCATCCTGCAGGTGAAGAGGCACGGCGAGTATTTGACGACGCCCAGCGGCTGCTCCAACAGATGATTGACAATGGCAGTCTGAGGGGGCGGGGCCTGGTGGGTTTCTGGCGTGCTCAGAGTGACGGTGATGACATCAATGTGTACAAAGACAATGTCACGGTGCACAGAGACACCAAACCCATTGCCACCTTCCATGGACTACGACAACAGGTGAGAGTCATATACAGGTGTTCCACACGTCACGGGTTGCAAACTTCTGTCACCTGGAGAGTTCACACCTGGTGCACTCAGAGGAAGCGTTGGTGTCGAGTGCTTTACTCTGTGGACATTAAAGAGACCGTGTCTGAAATCACTCTGCCCTCCTCCCCACACCTTTTTGATATGTGCATGTGTTTCCTGCAGGCGGAGAAGATGGACGGCTCAGGGCCCTACCTGTGCCTGTCAGACTTTGTGGCCCCTGCAGACAGCGGGGTGCAGGACTATGTTGGACTGTTTGCAGTGGCCGTGTTTGGAGCAGAGGAGCTGAGTCAGCAGTTTCAGGATCAAGGAGACGACTACAACAGCATCATGGTCAAAGCTCTGGCTGACCGGCTCGCTGAGGTATGTGCACCTGTAGAGACCGAGGTACACCGTGCACCTGTAGAGACCGAGGTACACCGTGCACCTGTAGAGACCGAGGTACACCGTGCACAAAGTTGAATACAGGGTAACGGTGACATGTAGCAGCTGACAGGGGGCGTGGTCTGTGAAGCAGTAGGGTCAGTAACAGGGAAGCAGTCGGGCATAACAACACAGACAGAGCTTAGTGTACAGATACATTCACACTGAGAGATCAGCGCTTAGAAACGCCAAACAGCTGGGAGACGAGCAGTTTGATTGAATCCGTGTTCATAGGGACTCTATTAAATACACTGATACCTACATACTATACATTACATGTTTCTGTGATTCACTCACCTGAACTGATTTCTGTCATATTAATTGAGTATAGTCGATTTATTAAGATGACGTCAGGTTTTATTCGTCTCAGGTCATAAATACAGTGAATGAGACGGGCCAGGGCGAGAGTTAGAACGTGCACGTTAGGGTGCGATCTAAACTCTCACGGTCTCGGCTGCACTAACGATGTTACAGAACCTGATTGTTGCCAATGTGTTTGTGCAGGACGTTGTCTGCAATATTTGTTACTTATAAACGATACATTTACTGAATATTATTTGTCTTGGGCTTATCTGTTGCCGTGGTAACAAACTAGACTAAACTAAAATGATGTCTAAAGTTTAAAACTCTGCCGATATAGAGAAGATTCAGACTCTGATCCAGGATCAGATGAAGTCCAGGAGTCTCAGTTTGTCCAATCGTCCTGAGATTTGATATTTGTGTAATTTATCATCACGTGTTCTACCAGAATCATATCAGAGCTTTAACATCTGGTTCTGTGACGTCCTGATTGTAGAATTGTCATTAACTCGTCCTCTGATGTCGTCCTGCAGGCGTTCGCCGAGGAGCTGCACTGTCGTGTTCGTAAAGACCTGTGGGGGTACAGCGGTGAGGAGGAGCTGCACGCTTCAGACCTGCACAGAGTCCGATACCAGGGCATCAGACCAGCTGCAGGTTACCCGAGTCAGCCCGACCACACGGAGAAGAGCACCATGTGGAGCCTGGCCCAGATCGAGGAGAGGACCGGTAAGAGAGTCACATCCTGCTGTGGTTTTTATCATGTGACACGAGAAGCAGACGTCAAAAGTCTGACTTCCTGTTTACAGGAACGGGTTCCAGAGCGACTACTTTTGAAAACAGCAGCGTCTTCGTCGGCGTGTAAATTGACAAAATGCCTCTCCTCTGAAAAAAGAGACTTTACGCACATGCTCAGTACGCTTCCAGTCAAAGGTCATGAACGAGTACATGGACTACAACAATGGCGGACTCCTGAGTTCTGTTTGTTAAAAACAAGGATAAACAAATCTCTTTTAAACATGTTCAAATTCCCACAATGAGCCACTTGGAAATGCAAAGCAATCTTCCAGCAGCCCCTGGGAGACGGGATTCCCAGGAAAGGTGATGACGGGAAATGGGAAATAAAATAATATAAAAATCGCGCCTCTATTGTAGTGCTACGGCAGCGTTGATGCAGGCGTGTGGGTGGGGAAGCGAGTGAGGAGAGTGAGAGAAAAAGAGGGGAGTGTGTGTTTGGCAGGCGTATGCGAGAGGCACGTTACTGATGCCGGGGACAGGAGCAGAATCAGAGCAGTTTGAGCTCTGTGTGCGTGATAAACGACCCGACACCTCAAGTAACAAGCCGGACTCTCCGTGTCTGTTTACAACTTGCTGCACCCATTAAAGTGACAGGGTTTAGTCCAACTTCAGCCCTGAAGCAGACCAATCAGTCTCCTCTGTGCGCTCCGACCACAGTCAGAATGCCAAAGCAGGAAAGAATCCCTCTGAAATCTCCCAACAGGTTAGCAGATTTCATTAGTTTAAATAATGGAGTTCTGTAAAATATTGGTTGAAAAGAGTTGCTTAATGTTTATAGCTTTTTAGAAGACAACTCACAGACAATCCATGTGGCATTTCATAATTAGCGTTGCAGCAGATGTCACGCACGCAGCACACTTGATCATTGCAAACTGATAGCCTGTGTTGATGGACATAAATTGTGTTCCCAATGCTCTAATAATGATAAAAATAATAAGAATTTGGGAGGGATTTGGGAACACATAGGCCTATTTGATGATGTCAGAACATTAGGTCTACTTGGGCTTAGCTGCAAAGATAAAAAAGATCCATCTAATTTTCAGGAAAAATGTTAACCCCTAGTCAGCGGCCAATCAGAAGTCTTAGATTTCACAGATCATCCACAGACAACGTAGTTTGATCATGAAGCCTGATGTTCCCGTCACATCAGTCTGTAATGATGCGCTCACTCATCATTTGCTGCTCGGTGTGAGCGCACATCTTTCAAACGGTTTGTCAAGCGTGACCTTGCAGTGCGCTCAGCTTGGCACGGAGCAGATACGTGCCAAGCAACACAACCAATGAATGGAAATGCCCACAATTTAAAGGTCCCATATTATGCTTTTTCTGGTTTTATATGCTGTGTGTTTTCCAAGTGTCCTGTGCATGTTTAGGCACATCTATGTGCAAAAATTCAAAGTCCGCGGAAACGTGGCTTCTCCTACGTCCTCCTGTTAGCTGTAGCATTAGCTGCATGTAATGCTCGGTTCTAGCCCCCCTCGATAAAAATGTGTCAGTCCAACATCATTGTCAGTGTGAGATCACTGATCTAAGCCCATTGGCTCGTGGCAGCTCATGTTGAAATTTCCAAGAAGCGTGCTGAGCAACTGACCAATAACGACAGAGCGGATCGGCAGACCAATCAGAGCAGACTTGGCCCACGTGGGGTCTAACAGTGTGGGCTCAACAGAGTGCAGCTGACAGACTCAGAGCGTAGAGGGAGCAAGGAGGAGCAGTACATGAAAACAGACACTTTTTTCGGACTTCAGCTGAAAAAATTGTGAACGTATAAAAGTAGGTACATAGATTAAATATACGAACCCCAAAAAGGGCCAAAATAGGCTTTTTAATATCTGAAATGGACTTAAAGTTCTGTTACTAAAACAAGTGTGTGTGTGTGTGTGTGTGTGTGTGTGTGTGTGTGTGTGTGTGTGTGTGTGTGTGTGTGTGTGTGTGTGTGTGTGTGTGTGTGTGTGTGTGTGTGTGTGTGTGTGTGTGTGTGTGTGTGTAGGTATCAGTCTGACAGAGTCTCTGGCCATGTCTCCTGCTGCTGCAGTATCTGGACTCTACTTCTCTCATCCTAAGGCTTCTTACTTTGCTGTGGGAAAGATCACCAAAGAGCAGGTACGCCGATATCGTTTATATTCAAAGTCATCAAACTCATTTCAGGAAACATGCTGACAACACCTGACCTAAAAAGCCTTTGCATGTTTCTAATAAACTCCATGAGCAGAAACGTGCTCAAACTAGGATCAATATTGGAGATGCTTTTGAAAAATGGAGAGAGGTTAGAACGCAGAAAGGTTTACAGACCGATGCAGAGCTGGATAAACACTGAAGCTTCAGTGTCCACCACATGGTGACCTGCCTGAGCATCGACTCTAGAGAGGAGGGGGCAGGGGGAGACAGCTCTCTACAGTGTTTAGACTTTGGACTGCATTACCAATTTTAAACACTAGGGGTTAGAGCTACATACTGCTCCTTTAAAGTTTAATGTCTCAGAGACAGAGGAGATCAGGTTCATCACTGCAGACTCTCACAACACAAGACTAACAGGTAACACAGTTTGTACCTGATCCAGGATCAGATGTGTTGATCAGGACCTGATCAGATCTGATGCTCCTCCTCTTTACCTGCTCAGGTGGAAGATTACTCCAGGAGGAAAGACCTGAGGGTGGAGGAGGTGGAGAGGTGGCTGGCTCCTATTCTCGGCTACGACACAGACCAGTGAGACAGGTGGACCAGAGACTGGTACAAGTGATCCAGAACCAGGGACTACAACTCTGGCTGCCCGCCTGTAGGACTACAGCATCTGTACATGGGACTCTCACACTAGGCCACTGGCCCCCGTGTTGGAGTTTTGAATCCATCAGGTCAGAGAGAGAGATGATAAAGGCAAAACACGAATGACAAACTGTGAGACTGCGGCGCACCCTGAGAGGTCGCGATGGAGACGACCAGCTGATCTCATGAATCCTTCAGAAACAAGTTTTTTTTTTAAGTCTGTTTATAAAGTAAAGAGGAGAGAGGAATTATCTTCATTCAAAAAGTTTGTGTTCATGTCGTCATCTCAGAGGATCAGCTCCGATAGCGATACCTGTTTGTTACCATGGCAACTAAAACAGAAGTCTTAGACACTAAATGTTAAGTTTGTGATTGTTTTAATCACCAAAAGCTGCAGACCAACTCCTGAACACGTCTAAAGATGTGTATGCTCAGGTGTGTGTCAGGTGTGTGTTGTGTGCGTTTGTTCAGGTGTTCAGGTGTGTGTCAGGTGTTCAGCTGTCTGTGTGTTGTGTGTGTCAGGTGTTCAGGAGTGTGTCAGGTGTACAGGTGTGTGTTCAGGAGTGTGTCAGGTGTTCAGGTGTGTGTTCAGGAGTATGTGTCAGGTGTACAGGTGTGTGTTCAGGAGTGTGTTGTGTGTTAATGCCCGGCCTCGCTGCAGTCAGTCTGAATCAAATTCTCATGTAAAAAATGATGAAAGTGTAAAAATGACGAGTGGCTGAACGATGCTGTTTGTAAGAAATAAACTTTTTCAACATGTTTCCTGTTTGTCTCTGAGTTTTCTCCTCCAACCCACCTGCCCCTGCTCAGACACGTTTCCGTCTCACCTGAGTTTGAGGGGGCGTGGCCTGATTGGAGACTTGTTTGTCCAAATGATCCTTCTGTGTGCGGCGTCACTACGATAACTTTACTGCTCCTGATGGAGTCGCAGACTCCCCGATCTGGAATCAGTTTGATGTTCATGATTCCAGGTCGAGCTGCCTCCGACTGAATACCTGCGACTGATTACCTGCGACAGCCAATGAGAGCGAGCAGACCGGGAAGCGTCACCAACAGGATGTTTCGTACTCTTAACAGCTCACAAACATTGCAGCAAGCAGAGAGCGTCTTAACGTCTTCTCAGCCAGGATCTCATCCATATTCTTTGTCTCGTTTGCTTTCTCGAAACAGAATGCACGCCTCAGTCATCTGACCACGACCATCATCCTCCATGTTTGTTTGTTTTCTCTAAAAAAAAAACTGTGCTGATGTCTCCTCGTGTGTAGTCAGCCTTTATTTTGTAGGTCTTAGGGGGCGGTGCTAAGAGCGACAGCCTGCTGTGATTGGTTCAGCTCCTTCCCATCTTTAGTTCACTTCACCTGCGGCTCCTGATGTTCTTCATTCTGCGTGCCGTCCCTTTAAGTTTTCAGTCTCCGTGTTTGAGCCTCACTTCACTTCGTTAAAGAAGTTTTAATTTCATCTGAACAAAAATCCAAAGAATAAAGTCCAGAGCAGCGTGGAGTCGAGTTTATTTCTGAAACACATTTCAGCAACATTCAGAGTTCAGATCATTAGAGGGTTTGTAAAAAACATTTCACTTCATGTCCTGAAAACAAATTCTTCCTTTCCAAGTTCAGCTCTGTAACACACACACACACACACACACACACACACACACACACACACACACACACACACACACACACACACACACACACACACACACACACACACACACACACACCCACACACCAACAGGGTGGCAGCAGCTCAGTCAGTTCAACAGAACATAGAAGTTGGTCTGGTAGCTGGAGAGGTGACAGTTAACTTCTAAGTACTGCAAAAGCGTCCTTGGGCGAGGCTCCGAACCCCCAACAACCCTGGCGCACCCCCTGTGTAGCAGCCCCCTCCCCCCCATCGTTTGTGTTTGTGTGTGTGTTTCAGGATTGTGGGTGAGCAGCACATCTCAGTAACAGTGTAACCCCTCGGAGGTTAATAAAATATATATTTATGATGTTAATATGGGCTATATATTCTTTGAGTATATCTTTTTGATATTTAAATATAAAATAAATGGACATGATGATCCTAAAAAAATATTATTTTTTAATGACATTTTAAAATATATTTTTTTCTTTTTTATCTTGAGCCTTACTGTGTTTAAAAAAATAATATAATGTATCAGTAATGTGTTTTAGAGAAACGGTTTTACACACACACACACACACACACACACACACACACACACACACACACACACACACCTGTGCAGCTCCTCCCTCGGTGAGTGCGCGCCATCCAATGGGAGAGGAGGTCCACTGCGCGTCTGTTTTTGCTGCTGAGACACACATACACACACAGACACACACACACACACACACCGCCCGCACTCCGCACGCAGACACAGCGCGAGCTCCGAGTGACCGCCGACATGTCTGACGGAGGAGAAGGAGAGGACGAGATCCAGTTCCTGCGGACTGTGAGTGTTCATGATCCCGCTCATAGTGCGGGGGCTGCGGGGCACTGCGGCGAAATGCTCCGCTCTGTGTGTGTGTCTGTGTTTGTCCGCGTGTGTGTGTGTGTGTGGGCAGGCGGGGAGTTTACCGCATTAAGGCTGACAGCTCCTCCTCACAGCCCGCAGTCTGCAGAGGATGGAGGTGCAGGGAGGTGCTGTCAGGGTGTCAGAGAGGAGTTCAGCCGCATGCCACGGTGTGTGTGTGTGTGTTAGTGTGTTCGCTTCGGTGTGTGTGCGTTTTATAGCGGGCGCAGTGCGGTGCTCAGTTTCTGCGTGAAGATTCTGCATCTGCTGCACTTCAGCTCTGAGACGATGCTGTGTGCGTGCGCGCGCGTGTGTGTGTTGAAGTGAGAACAGCCTGTTTGAACACGAGAGGAGGAGCTGTGGCGTAAAAGTCACGCGTGAATAATGTCACAGTGAACACGAGTGTTTCTGTATCTCCACGCAGACACATTAAGGTGTGTGTGTGTGTGTACTGTGTGTGCGTGCGTGCGTGTGCGTGACAGCAGCAGGTTGGTGCAGAGCTTTGCAGAGATGTTAGAGTCTCTGATGAACATGTTGGTGCTCACACTGCATTAGAGCCCTGCAGGGATCAATAATAATATTCATAGTATCTCTGTGATTAATGTGAGTGTGTTTGAATGCTCTCTGCCTGTTTAGCCTCCTTCAGCTAACTGTCTTGGTTTCTGTATTTTTGATCTTCGTGTTCATCATGTAGTCTGACGTCTGGAACTTTGTGAAGAGCGCTCACGTTCTCAATAATCACCTTCATAGAGCTGCTTATGTGTAGTTATACATACATGTAGCTGAACATACATGCAGGAAACACGTTACATATGATCCAGACTCTTTACGTCTTTCTGCTTTTTATCAAATTAAACTTAATAATTATGACATTTCTACGGGCAGATAATTTGTTGTTTTTATGAACTCTTAATGAATTGATGACATCATTGGATGTGAAGTTCTTTATGAAACCTTGATATATTTGATTTTTATTAGAATCATATCAAAGTTTAAAACTTGGTGTCATGACGACCCTGATTGGCTGCCAGGTGACCTTCATCCTGAACATCAGAGACTGAACGTGATCGACATGAATCTCATGTTTACCTCCTTTTATTTGTCCCGTTAGCTTCATCATTGTTGGCTTAAATCTACAGTGGCATTATATAAGTTAGCATCATGTTAGCTGCTTACTTCTAAGATTCACTGAGCAGACACTTTATCCAAAGCGACTAACATCAGAGAGTAACAAAAACACAAGCGAGATCAAAGAAAAGAGGAAACAACATCAGGAAGCGCAAACAAACAGCTTTAAGTCCGATCGGACTCAGGTGCTGACAGGAAGTGACCAGAGGCAGTGACGTGTGCTGTTTTGGGGAGGTTTAAGACCAGTTGTGCTGCTGAGTTTTGGATCATCTGCAGGGGTTTGATAGTGCATGTGGGAAGACCTGCCAGTCGAGAGTTGCAATATTCAATGCGTGATATCACAAGAGCCAGTACCAGGAGCTGTGTAGCATGTTCTGACAGGTAAGATCTGATCTTCCTGATGTTGTACAGGGCAAATCCACCGGGACCGGGTAATCGAGGCTACTTGAACCTTAAATGTTAGCTTGGTCATCAATCATGGCACCCAGGTTCCTGCAGACTTTGTGGGCATGAGTTTGGTTGTACCAAGCTGGATATTGATCTGTGGTTCTATAGAGGGACTGGCTGGGATGACAAGGAGCTCCGTCTTTGAGAGGTCAAGTTGAAGGTGACATTCATTGATCCATTTTGAGATATCAGCAAGGCATGATGAGATTCTTGCTGAGGCTGTAACATGGTCTGGTGAGAATGACAGGAAGTGCTGGGTATCGTCAGCATAGCAGTGGTATGAGAAGCCATGAGAGCGGATTATTTTCCCAAGTCAGCTTCTGTATATGGAGAAGAGAAGGGGACCGAGCACTGAGCCCTGAGGCACCCGTGTGGATAAACTGTGCGCTTCGGACCGTTCTCCCTTGCAAGACATTGAACGTCCCGCACATTCATCCTCTGAGGTTCGTCCTCTGAGCGTCCTCCAGGTTCATCCTGAGTGTCCTGTAGATTCATCCTCTGAGGTTCGTCCTCTGAGGGTCCTGCAGGTTCATGCTCTGAGTGTCCTACAGGTTCATGCTCTGAGCGTCCTGCAGGTTCATGCTCTGAGCGTCCTGCAGGTTCATCCTGTGAGCGTCCTGCAGGTTCATCCTCTGAGCGTCCTGCAGGTTCATGCTCTGAGTGTCATGCAGGTTCATGCTTGAGTGTCCTACAGGTTCATGCTCTGAGCGTCCTGCAGGTTCATGCTCTGAGTGTCCTAGGTTCATCTGAGTCCTAGGTTCATGCCTGAGCGTCCTGCAGTTCATGCCTGAGTGTCATACGTCATGCTTGAGGTCCTACAGATTCATCCTGAGCGTCCTGCAGGTTCATGCTCTGAGTGTCCTACAGGTTCATGCTCTGAGTGTCCTACAGGTTTATCCTCTGAGCGTCCTGCAGAAATCTGCTGCTCTGATAGTGAAACCTGAAGTCCGATAGATCAGTCGGTTATTTTTCACCCATCAGGCACAAACACTGACTCTCTGCCCACTGACCTTAATCCTTGATATGAAATCCTTTATAATAAAAATCATTTTTATAGAAAACATCATGTTTCAGAGAGAAAGCACAAAATCAGTATTCCTGAGAATTGTATTGTTTGATTTAAGGTCACACTGTAATCTGTGATTAATAACATGTTAAATATATTTTATAGATGAAACAGTTCATTCATTAGTTAACTGACTGAAGATGATTCATCAAGAATCTTTAATCAATGTTTTCGGTAATTCATATTTTTTAACATGAGCTAACAGCGTGACATGTTTACAGACTGAGACATTAATAATTGATTATCCTGTTCTAAAACAATATCTGGTTTTTTTTAATGATCAGCAGTAATAAAAAGGACTGTAGCTTTAAAACAGACAGGTGTGTAGGAGACGACTGCGTC